GTCCAAGGATGGAGGGGGAAACCCATATTATTTGAACAAGGACAGGAGTAAAACCCACCCAGGACACCTTTACTGAGTCACCACTTTACTGGCAACTGTTCACGTGTGAATAAACACAGCGACCACTAAAGTATTTCGATTCCTGATGATCCCAGATTTGTTTACAGAAAATGAAGGACCATTTCCTTAGTGACATATTACAGCAGACATATTTAACAAGCTAATTGCACTTGGGAGTTAGAGATAAATTGACATGCTCTTAAATACATACATTTCTTTTTCTTTCCTGTTCTCTAATGAGTTTGTAGTTTAATTGAAGAAGCTGCTAGATGCCCTCCAAATACTAGTGAAAATCTCAAAGGAGAAGAAGCTGCTTTATGCAAGTGTTCTCGTAAAACAAGGAGTATTCAAGTATGGTAAATAAATACTAGAACCAAGAATGGTATTCGGTTGTCTCCTTAAAAGCTTGAAGCTTAAGTATCTTCATACTGATGGTCTGGTTCTGAGCTAAACGTTAATGAAAACACTTTCTCTTTTAAATAAAACTACAGCACTTCTGTGTATGATCACTTCCCTAGGGCAAAGGTCTGCTTTGGGGTAAATTACAGAGGAATATTACTGCGGTGTTGTCAAGTGTATGCCTGAGTAACACAGAGATTTAACCCAATTATTCCACCGTAGAAGAGAGCTGTGGACTAAGGCTGGGGATGAAGCCTGGTACAAGGCAGGCTTCTTGGTGGGACGGCTGGCTGGAGGCTGCACTGCAAACTCCAGCTCGGGGGTCAGATCATCTCTTTGTAAGAGGAAGGGCACTCACCTTCCCCAAATCCACGGCCGGGTGGTTCAGGTTCACAGCTGGCAGGAGGGGCATGTTGACTTCAAGGGCAAGAAATCCCAACCCCCTAAGGAGCAAATACGCTTTCCTTCAGAGTAATTTATGCACATCCTGAGATGGATTTAAATTTAGGAGAATGTGAGAGCAAGAACCTGTTAAAATCGAGGATACTTTTCACTTGTGTACTGTGAGTTAGAGGTTTCTATTGCTGTTGGAGCTGCAGCTGTAGCTGAGAGAGGGTCAGAAAACCCTGGGGCTTAAATACAGGAGCTTCAAGGCGAGAAGAGTATAAAAATAAATTCCAAAGGGCTTAATAACATTGTGCAGAGGCTGGATATTCTGGTGTCAGAAGAAAACTGGTGGCTCTTAGATCAAAACCTAATCACCCCAAAGCAATAAGAGCCTTTGTTTTAGCCAGCTAGTCCTTCTGTCACTCACTGGGGCAGTGTCTTTTTTACTGGCACCCCTAGTGACAGTTAATTTACAGTGTGTACAGTTAATGTACAGCGTGTATAGGTCACTGACAATATTAACAGTTAAAGCAAAAATACTCCGGAATGAATGTGGCTAAACCTTTAGCAGCCTGATCCAAAATCTGCTAGGAACCTTTTGCTTGACTTCAAAGGAATTATTATCAGCATTTTAGTGAACTTCTCCTACAAAAATATGTTACAAAAGGGAGCTGTGCCTCACAGCTTACTGCCAGGACTTTTCCTTCACGCGGAATGCAGAGAGGCAGAGCTCGCGGACAGGCCAGGCCACCTCTGCAGGCAGCGCCGTCAGCGGAACCCCCCCGAGGTTACCCCATGGGTCACCCTCTGATTCTCTGCAGCGAGGCCAGACGAGGGGCAAAATGTCTGCTCTTTCTTAGTCTGCCATCCCAGAAGACTTTATTTATGCATTAGTCGACCTTTCTAGCCATTAGGACCATCTTGCTTCAGCAGTTAATTAACACAAGTGCCATAATTTAATACAGTTAATGCTACTTGATGCCCTTTAATGTACCTTCCATTAGTGATATTATTGTAGTATTACCCTGTAAATTAAAATGAGATCAAGACTAAGAGGGGCTCTCTTTAATTAAGGTACTGGCACACTACATCGTCCATTATTCACTAGAAAAAATCGCCCTGATTTAGTGAAGCAGACCATCAGTAAGTCAGAATTAGTTCATGTGGATTATTAGGTTTCTTGAATAATGTGAGCACAATGGGGTTGCTGAAATTGCTAACAGCCACGTTTCCTTTTTTCTCATCATCTTAATAAACACACAATGGAAGTGGTAAATTGGGGATGAATAAACAGTTGGTAATAGAGGAGGTAAGGCATTCATCGAGAGTACACAGGCTTTCATCTCTAATGCAACATACATCAGACTTATTTCACACCGAAACTCAAAGCAGTGACAAAACAAACCCTATATTAAGTGGGCAGATCTCCTGTCTGTAATTCGCTGTGAAGTATTCACCGCTCTAGCATCTCGTGCATTAAATATGGCAGCTCTAAGACAGATGCTTTTCACTGTCATGGATCCTTAAAATACAGCGAGAAACAAGTTACACTTTATGCTGCCTTCAGAAATACACTATTATGAGCTTTGGTGATTTTAACTATATTTAACCTACAGGTCGGGTTCTTTCAGTATGAGGACTAGCTTTAGCATGTGTCTGCTAGCATCACTCATCTGCCACGTGTCAGGGTCCTTGGTACCACCCCTTGTATCCCATGCTCAGGGAACAGTCTAGTCCAGCTTTACTACACGTATGTAAACATCCGTGTCTCAAAGCACAGCATGGGAAACACTGTAGCAAAATAAAAACATAACTGGTGTGACTTACTTTCCACTTAACTTCCTGAATTAACTGCAACAGCTGGAAAGTTCAGGTGGATCAGAAACAGCCCCACAACCCCGCTCGTGACCCTCGCTCCCCTCCACCGTGTTCCCAGGCTCAGGGCATACCAGGGCACAAGACCTTAATGCTGATTTGGAGACTTTCTGGGGGCAGGATGGGCAGTAAGATTTTTGGTAGGAGACCAAAAATACCTAAAATCATGTGACAGTGGGCCTATTGCAAGCTACCTTCGCTGCGACAAAACAATCAGGGACCGTGTACCGCGGCCCCACATCACCTCAGCAGAAAGCAGGCCAAGCAATTCTTCAGCACGGAGGCATCACTACACACTGTGGCCACCAAAACCCTGAAGAGCTGTTCTTCTCATTAGCAGAAGAGTGATAAGAATTCCCGTGAATCTAATCTAGGGAGACACTATTACACATCAGCTATTTCTTTGAAAGCACGTGTCCGATTACTGCAGCATTTAGACAACAAGCATCAGCATCAGATAAGCTCTCTGTGCAGTCACGCCTCATTTTTATGGATTGTTTTTCACAAGACTGCCATGCTCCAGATGTGCTCGGAAGGGTTCTGTTTCTAATTTGCATGCCACGCACCCTTTTCTAATCCTTCAGATGCTTTCTTTGATATGGTACTGATAGTCTAATTGAAGTCAGGCTAAGCTCCAAATGGGTTTTCAGATGGGGAGCAGCTTTTCCTTAAAGCGTAAGGCGCTTCCAATCCTGAGCTTTGATATGCTCCCTCTGCAGAGCCAACCTCTGTGGAGCGCAGGGGAGAAAGGATACACATTACATAGAACATATGTGTTGTTTTTTACATACTGAGGCTAGTGTTGCTGAACCATTTCAAACAGAATCTGAAGCTGGCCATGGTCCACTCAGCCTTCTCAAGAGACTTGTGAAAAACCATTTACAGTGTAACTAAGGAGAGTTAAAATAAGAATTCTTAAACCATCAACATTTACCTTATACTTTCATATGTTCAGTTAGTGATGCTGTACCTATGTCTATGTATTTGGTGTGGACACAGAAGATTGCAACTACATGCTCCATCTGTGGTCCTAAAAAATGTATTTTGATGTTATATAAAAAGATATCAGTACTGCAAAAGCGCTTATGCATTCAAATCTCCACGTGGCATCAATTCTTCCTTTATCTAAAGTTAGAGGAATATTTTTCAATAGATTACATCACAGTGGTTTGATTCTATTTTGATTTTATGTGTCGTTTTCTGCAATATGGAAATGCTTATGAACATGTAAGACGTGTAAAAGAGGTAGAAAATGGTAAACTCACTATAGAAATAATATTAATTTAGCAACCTGTGTTTTATAAAATTACTGTCTCTATTTTTTTTTTTCCACTCAGTCCTTTGTCTGCAAAAAAATGCCCTGGCCTTCCAAGATACATTAACTTTTCTGTTCGTTGTGATACTTAGCTTCCCTTCAAAAAAGGGTTTTACAAAGGAAGATTTGAACTCTCTAAAAACAGAGAAGAAAAAGGTGAAGAAGAGAGGCGAGTGAATTGCTGATAGAGAAAGTCCCATTTATTTCTTCTGAACACATTGGTATCCAAGACACATGCAGAGGGTATCACCCTCCTGCTTGAGGTCATCAGTCAATTGCTAGTTTGAGTTGGGAAGAAAATTTCCCGATAGGAATGTCATTGCATAGTTATTATTTTGGGGACTACAGCACCTGATACCAGCCACTGCTTGCCCCAGAGGGACTATTTGTCTTGAACCCAGCTGAGTAATCATCTTCGTTATATTCAAATCAGCCTCTCCAAAACACTGTTGTGTTTTTTCTTTTTACTTCAGCTTCCCTGCATTTCTCAGCTAATTAAAGCACAAGGAACGGGCTCTCATCTCTGCCGCCCTCCTTGTTCACAGGCAGTTCACAGCCAGACCTAGTGGGAAGGGTCCACGCAAGGGCTGCTGTATCTATCACAGCTTACATGAAAGGCCTGAAAAAGTCAAATGATAAAACAGAATCTCTCTTTTTAGTTAACTGCCATCAGATGAGGCTCCAGCTGTAAAAAAGCAGATGTCCTAATGCCTGGGTGAATTCCTGAGCCAACGTAAGACTGTTAATAGTACCCTGCTCCTGAGACCTCAGGCTTAAGATCCCAGACTAGTGACAGTGAACATTTGGGACTGAGTCAGAAACTTCCAGTATGACCAGAAACAAGCTACAGCTGAGCCAGATATCCAATGTACACATCTTGTACACGTTTGGGGACAAACACAGGTTTGAATAACCTCTAACCCCAAACATACATGCCTGTTTCTAAAGGTATATGTTCTCTTACCTTCCGTATACCCTTATGTCCGAAATTGCATAAAAGTAGCGTGCCAGGTGTTGCTCATCGACGTAGATTTCCCCAGTTGCTGGCCTAAGCAGTCTTATCCTCAGATCCGTGATGGTGAAGAAATCTCTTAACTTCTTGGTTGTGTCAAGCTGGCCATAAAGAGAAGCCATGTTATGAAGCCGAGGTCCAGCAAAAAAAGCAAATCTATCTTTGATTTCAAAGTGGATTATTTTACTATTTGTCATGTACCCGGTAGAGTATTCCTCTGTGCAAATGATTTCTAGGACGGTGTGCTGCGATAAATCCCTCACTGATTTTGGATCCATGTGGAAAGCATCTAAACAGTCTGTGGCATAGTACTGGTAGGGCTGCCATGTTCGTCCATAGTCCAGCGATTTCTCCAGGATCATTTGGTCTGGACGCCCAGATTCAAAAGTGATAACTATGTTATCTGTCAGCTCAATGGTTTTGTTCCAGGAGAGCGTAATATTTACATGAAGAGGCTTTGGATAATCCTTCCATGTCGTGGACTGCCAAAATGTGGAGGGATGTCTTCCTTCCAGATCAAACATCAGTTCCGGAGGATGAGCCAGTTCTTGGGTACTCGCATCACATTCATTATTGCACATGTAGGGATTCCCCTGGAAAAGAGCAAAGCAATGTTACAAGAGGCACGGTATTGGTGGCTGTGACACATAAAAGATGGTTTTTGTCTGGCATATGAGAACTGCTGCTTTTTCTCCAGAAGTGAAACCCAGAAAGAAAACACAAATGCTTGCAAGAAAACCCATATCGTAATAAGATTTATCCTGGCTATCTCACCTGGTGAAGTAAATGTACAAATTCACACACATACAGCACCCTCGCTTCTGCAACACAAACATTTTTCTTAGGATGTTTTAGAGAAAAAATAGAGTTTATTTACCCTGAACAACTTGGACCAGTGATTGAGTCAGAAAGACCAAGAAGAGTAAGCTAGTCTGTAATAGCTCAGTGACTCTGACTCTTCCTAGAAAGATGCAGCAGCCAAAGAGAATTTAATTTTAATATGAGTATGTTCCTCAAGAGATCCGTTCACAAACAAAGTAATTTTTAGGGCAAGTGTTTTGAGGTCAGCACGGCAGCCCGTCTGTACTCGGTATGAACCAGTACCCAGCACCCCTCCAAGTTTCCTTTCACCCAGGCATGAGATTTATCCTGCGTAACTGTGCTCTCTGTTTGGCACCGGCTTGCCTTAAAACACTTGCAGTCACCACCCAGAGCCCTTAGAAAAACAGCGCTCTGCCAGCTCTGGGGCTCGATTCAGACATCTGCCATCTTATTACAGGGTAGCGGAGTACTTCAGGAAAGACTTTTCACGACGCACCGGCTCCTATTTATCAGGACAAGATAACCCAGCACTTCATTAGGTGGGAGATGTCAGCAGCTCCAGCTGGACCGCTGCCAAGGTGGCTGGAGCTCTGAACTGGGGTTGGAGTTAAAAACAGCAACCAAAAAAGCTTGCCAATAGCACGCAGCTTTTACTGCTGCTCGTCCTCTGTAGCAAGGTGAAATATTCCCTCCCCGGCCTTTTGATGCATTAACTCGCACACTACAATCTTCTGCTTCTTCACAAAGGCTATTTTGTCTGCAAATTGGGGATATCTTGCAGCAGTTGCCAAGATATCAGACCCCGTGGGCTGCACTGAATCACGTCTATCTAATTTCGGCTTTCCACAGTGCATTAATGTTGTGCTACTTGTTCATTCTGCGCTTGTTCCAGAGAGCAACCGCTGCTCTGCATCCTTCTCTCCGCCTTACGTACGGATTGTGGAAGGAGCTGTGTCTCTTCTCACCGTTGGTCAGCACTGCTGGGGAAAACATGCACATGCCTAGACCTCGCAGAGCTCAATAGGAGCGTAAGTGTAGCTGTTGCTGTCATTAATCAGAGTTCCCCTCACCTACCCTGAAAACAGAACAAGCCATGGTATGATAATCAACCTTTTCTTTTCTTATAATGACAGTTATGCTTCTCTCCATCTCAAAGCCTCAGGGCAATGAAGCGATTCAATGCCATCCAGCGTGGGAAATGGGTTTCCAACATGAGTTTCCACCTTGGCCACTGCTCTGCTCCGTGACATACGGCCACAAAACACAAGCAAAAGGAACTTCTGCACTCCCTGTGACCTCCCCGCTGGCAACGTCCTCTTACCTGGGCAGGGAATTGCTATTTTCTTTCTCTCTCCCTTGCCCATTAATACAGCTGAATGCTAAAACCGACAACGATGCGCTGGGACTTGAAGTTGGGGAAAAAACATACACGACAACAAAAAGGGTTATTTAAAAAGCAGCACACTGCTTGTTACACTGACAGCTTCAAAGCACACAGCTGTAACTGAAAATACTCTGTAAAACGTGTCTATAATAAGTCCCTGTTACAGCTCTGATTTCAAGCTCACGGTTGCTATTTCTATGCCTTCCTTTTGAATAAAACAGTGAAAATCAAAAGTAAGTTTCAAGCAGAATAGCAAAACCACCGAATTCTTTATTATTTAAGCTCCATTTAATATATCAGACACAAATGCCAGGATCTGCTAACTTACTTTTCCTTAGGGAAACTATACATATTGTGAAATCTGTACGGTTCCAGACCCTTTGACTATACGTAAATATCAATTTTGCAGAAAATGCTCAGAGCTGGTGTAAATCACACCTTTCTGAGGTTTACTAGAGAAATCTGCTCACTTCTGTACCTGTCACCACGAAGCCGCCTGCGTACCTATAATGTATATGCTTCTGTCATCGCTTTGGTAAATGCAACTTCCCTGGGAGGTCATGGGTATCGAAACGCAGCAAATAAATGCTCCGGGGTAGGCAGACAGGTGCATTAAGCACTGCTGAGGGATGGCTTTGGTTTCCTGCTCCGCAAGCAACCGCTGAGTCTGTTGTGATTCTTCATGTTAAAAACTAAAGCTGCTCTGATCTGGTAGTCGCTGGATGCTGGAGGAGGCATGTTTTATGACTTCCAGCAGTTCACCCAGATTGTGGGGGACGTATTGTTTCTTTTTGTACGTAAGAGATGATTTCTTTTGCTCCCATTTTCTTTCACCTTTTCCTTTTTAGCAAAAGCTGAGGTGCCAATATAATCAGAGAACGCTGGGAGACAAGGCTGTAACAAACCACAAGCTAGTGTCAATGCAGTAAGATCATGAGAGCTGGTGGCAATAAGGTACCTAGAAGAATGGTGCAGTAAATGGTACAAATCAGCCCTAGCTTGGTAATGCATAGCAGCCTACATCTGTGTGGGTGCTGTCCTGCACCCACCAGTGATAACGTCAGTGCCCAACCCACCGCTGGCACCCTGGGGTACGGCCATCACTGCAACCGAGAGTCCTAATAAAAAGCTTTAGGCATATCCTCTCCAATAAACCAAATCATTCTTCAATTTTATAGCAAAAAATTCCTTTCTAAGAAGCAAATGATTTGGTGACACCAAAATCACCTGTGTGGAGTTCAGTATTCTGGGGAGGACATTAGGAGAACAAATAATCTAAGCTGATATAAGCCGATAAAATAAATGTCCTGAATGATAACACAGAGGGAGGGAGAGAAATGATGGTTTTAGGTAAGTTCCCCTCTGCCTACTAACATGGCACTCACTGATGTAATTTTGAAATACATGATTGCTGCTTCAGAGGCTTGGAGTCAGATTCCCGTTTTCTCTACCAGCAACTTGGATTTAAACTGCCTCTAATTCACCTTAAATGTAATTTGCATGTTAAATCACACTTACATTATGCAAGCAGTGTACATGAACGTCCCTTAGTACATGCTAGCATGAAAACAATTAATTTAACTGGGATTAGTTACATATTTTAATGTCTTGATCTCTGTGATAATCCTCTTTCAGACCTCTTATCTCAGTAGAATGAATACAACAAAGAGAAACTTTCCACAGTTCGTGAAAACGAAGCCCACTCTGTGTCGGGGACAGCTAAAGGACCGGAGCTTTAGCAGCTCTAAGTAATTTTGTGACCACAGGCAGCTGTAAATAGATCTTCATTTAAGCCTTCCAAGCAACAGCTCTGCAGCTGCGTAAGGTGGAAAGTATTTATAACTTTTCAAAATCATATTTAAGCCACTAGGCCATTTCTAAATAATTAAACACTAATAAATACTTCTAAACACTTTACTGCCAATTAGCGTAAAAGGTAGCTGAGGTTTTCCCAGCACCAAGACAATCTAAAGGAAACCAAGTATTTTCCTGTCCAGTAATTGGAGATTGAAATTAAATAGCTCCTCGCAGGCAGGCAAATTAAGTTGCTATTTATTTTGGTTTAGGCCACTCATGGAAGTCAAAATATTACCAAAACTACTGACATAGTCTAGAAGTTCTGGCTTTAGAAAGAGGTACCTGTTTTGCAAGTGTCCCTGCCTGGGACGGGGTGCTGGAGCCGGCCTTGCCAAGCCTTAGCAAGCACATCTTCTTAGTGATGGATAGGACAGTGACCCCAGGGTGAGGATTTTGGTTAAAAGCAGGGGTCCAGCAGTACTATGATGTCCGGACGTCAGCAGAGGAGCCGGCAGTGGTGCTGCAGCTGCCGTTCGAGGGTTAAAGCCGCCCGTCTCTCATCAGGATGGCTCCTCGGTGGCATCCACACAGGCTTAGGGCTTGATTGAAGATGTTGCTGCTTTCAATCTGCTTCCTGTCCACACTAACACCTCATGGACTTTTTTTACTCGGGAACAAAGACAGAGGGGCTTAACCTTTCTGCAGCGTGAATATTGGAAGCTATATCACAGATTACACGCTGTAATAGACACCTGGCTAAATCCCTACAGAGGATTATAACTTGCATTTTCAAACTGGTGAAGGCTGCTGAGGTCAAGCAGGCCAAGATTTTAAGAAGGAACAAAATAAATTTTCAAGAAGTGAGTCACAGCAACGGATTTTTATACTGCTGCCTGCAGGTAGTTAGCTCAGATGCACAAGAAATAAATACAGTCTGACTCACGTCAGGAGCGAGGTTGTGCAGTAAATTACTGCATTCAAGTCACACTTTTAGAAATAATAGAGTATTTCTGTTTTCCTTTCCAAGAGATCCTTACATGTAGTTTGCTTGGTACCACGCTGTACATTGTAGATGACTAATTAGGCAGTAATAGCTAATCACAGCAATTGCCCTAATGCTTACATTTTGCACGTGGTTTCTAATCAGGAATGACTTGTTTACCATGACAGAGCCAGATCATGAAACCTTTCATTGGGAGAGACTACTCATTAGGTGTTGTCCTGCTAAGGGCAGACAGTGTGGTGCAGGATTGGCAAGGCACAGGACCTCTCGCATGATAATTGATGTTATCAAACTCAAGACATCCATTAGCTGGTTTGAGAGCACCTCGGGCAGTGTCTGCAGAATTATTGCTGTGATGGAGACAGGCATGGCTGTAGACAAGAACATTTTACCATCAATAGCCTTTCATCACTGTAGTGACAGCATTTTAAGTTAAAGTGATTTAAGTTAAGAAAGAAAAAGTGTTAAAATCTCGGTGGAAGATTTGATGCTCTTTCACAGAGCTCCCAAGCGAGAGGCATCTGGATGGCCAGACGAGCACTTTGAACTCTGAGCTGCAGGCTGAACAATACACATTCTCCAGAACC